TGTTCAATAAAGAGAGTTTATATTTTTGAACACACGTGTCCTTTATTTTGTACATCAGGAAGGGGGGCTAGGGAGGGGTAAGTGGAAGGAGGTGAGGGAGGAATGGGGTACGAGTCCCCAGTGGGGAGGACTGGGGTGGGACTGCAGGCTCCTCGGGGTGGAAGCTCTCCTGCAGCCTCCCGATTGACACCCCCCCCGGATGGCAGCCTGCGGCAAGAGCAGCCGGGCTGATGGCCAAGTGCTGTGATGTGCCGAGTGTGAGCACTCAGGGCACTCCAAGCCAGGACTGCTTTGCTGTCCCTCATTAAGTTAGACAAGCGAGCGGGGAACCCCTGAGAACTGTCTGTCCGGGGTGGGGGTCGGGTCCCTTTAAGCACAGCCCTTGGCTAGCCTGAGGCAGCAGCTCCACGCTCTAAGTCCTAATCTGATGCCCTGCTGGCACTGCTTCTGGCCAGCATTAACCCCGGTTCAGGGTCCACTCAATGTGGACATGCTAGTTCGAATTAGCAAAATGCTAATTCAAACTAGTTTTTAGGTCTAGATGCACTAGTTCGAATTAGCTTAGTTCGAATTAACTAATTCGAATTAAGTTAGTTTGAATTAGTGCTGTAGTGTAGACGTACCCTAAGGGAGGTCAGTGCTCCCCTGCTGGCTGCCCTGCTCCTAGACTCCTCTCCCTGGGGCTCCCTTCCCTGCTAAAGCTGGTCCAGCCCAGCTCCCCACCTAGCTGCCCACCTGCTGCCCCATGGTCTCCTGGGATCCCCAATGGGGACCACTTGGCTGCTGCAGGTCCCGTTGCTGCAGGGTGTTCTCTGGGGTTCCCCAGCTGGGGGTTTCCTGGGGTTCCTGGCTAGGGTCGCCCAGCCACAGGCATCCCAGCTGCAGCCGGGGATTCCGGGCTGAGACATGTCAGCCACGTGGCCCCCTAACACTAGGGGTTCCCTGGCTCAGGCAGGAGCTTCCCAGCTGCCAACTGGCCCCGCTGACGCTGGGAATTCCCTGGCTAAGGCTCCTAGCTACCACCTGGCCCCATTAATGCTGGGGGTTCCAGGCCACAGCGGAGGCTCCCCAGATACTGGCTGGCCCAGCCGGGGCTCTCCAACCCTTGCGTTGCTCCGGGGCTCTTTGGTCCAGCAACATCCCTGGTCCTGCTGGAGGTTCAACCTGTAGTGAATGTGAACAAACTCATTAAATTGGTTCAAAGGGCAAAATTTTGTCCTTTTTGCCACCAAAGTCCATTTGAGATGACAAAATACTAACATCTTAACCTAATTCTGTTAATAAATACTTGTAAAGAGATTGCTCTTAACATGCCAATACTCACAAAAGAAAAACTGTCAGTTTAAGTTTAGCACAGCTCTGACCCCTAGATGGTCATTTCTTTGTTTCACTGACTCAGCACATAAAGATAATTTGTGAATTTGTGGGATTTTCAAACCAGGCCACTGAGTTGAGTGCAAGATGACTGTGTGGGGCCTTTAGAGCAGGATATTGTGGACATACCTTTACAAGGACTTTAGAACAATGAATGAAGGAGCACTGAAAAGTTAGGCCATTTCAGGATATGCGTAAGTGGTCAGCTCCCTGGCCTTCCTCAACCCATGCTGTAAGTGCCCATCAAAACAGACATCTGATTTTCCATTTTATCTATCTGCCCTGAACACTATCAAGTAAATATATGGAAAATGTCCTCGTTTAGCCTTGTGCCATTCTCTCTCTGATCATGATGCATTTTGTGTTTTTACTATTTTATTAATGATCAGCAAACCTTAAAACTGTTCCAAGTTCTAAATAAGTTCAGTTAAGCAACCTAAAGATTGGCTGGAAGCTCTTCTGGAAGCTGTCCTGCAATTGCTGGTGCCATGTTTTCAAGCACAAGTTGTGCTTTGACAAAACGGGGGCTTTCTGGAAAGGTATCCCTGTGTATTCTTTAACAGTGGGAGAAGGCCAGTTTTGGGTTTCCTAAAACCAGAAGCACAGGTAGTTCACATCTGAGTTCAATTCACCTGAATTGTCAACGTTTGGGGCTGGGGATTGGGGAAAGGTTTCTGGATTTGGCACCTTGTCTAGTAACAAAATATGGGAAAGTATATGGGAAATCAATGCCTAACTTCTATTGAGTTCAGGGGGTTTGGATGTCACCATAGTATAGCGTGACATAGTGCTGTAAAATCCCTGGGCATAAAAGCCTGGCATATATAGGACTAAGGAATTTTCCTCCAGGGTAGATTGGCAGAGGCCCTGCAGGTTTTTCGCCTTCCTCTGTAGCATGGGGCACGGATCACTGCTGAAGGATTCTCTGCATCTTAGGGTCTTTAAACCATTTGAGGACTTCAATATCTGAGATATAGGTGAGAGAATTATTCTAGGAGTGGGTGGGTGAGATTCTGTGGCCTGCATTGTGCAAGGGGTCAGACTAGATGATCATAATGGTCCCTTCTGACCTTAAAGTCTATGAGACTCTATGGCTAGGTCTATGCTACAGCTTTTTCCAATTTTTTTTCCAGAAGAGGCTTCTCCAAAATTTGGCCCGCCTACACTGGGCCAAATTTCGGAAAATCCTCCTCTTTCAGAAGATCCCTTCTTCCTCATGGAATGAGGAAGACTGGGCTTCCGAAAGAGCGCGATTACACTTCTGCCAAAAAAAAGCGGAAGAGCAAACGCATTCCCTGGACGTGGTGGAGGTATCCCGGAAAACCCCCACAGTGTAGCACCTATCAAGTGCTCTGTTTTATGTCTGTACCTCTTGAATCATGTGGATTGGTTGTAGTGCTGAACTAATACAATTTTCAGCATTTGTATGTTATTGTAACAAGCATGTTCTCTCTTTCTCTTTTCATTTCTAGGTCACTGTACTTCCACATGCACATTCTAAGCCTCCTGGTGTTGCTGGTCCTACCAATCAAACCTCAAGACCACACCATGAAGCAGCTTCAGAATCAAGTCACACACAACTCTGTTAAAAACAAGAAAGAAAAATGATACCTCAGAGGAAAAACACTCATATGGGGAAATGAAGTGTCATACCAAAACCAAAAGGACGCAAATAAAAAGACAGTGGCATTGTTATTACTTAATTTAAAAGGCTTTGGAAAGGACAGACTGGGGCGTAGTAGACTATGTTCAAGATGACTCCAGTAACAAAGATGAACAGGCTTGATTTTGATTTTATAACTACAGGGACTATTTTTATGATGTGCTTTTATATATTTAATTTTTCACATGTACAGACATTTTTGATCTTTTACAGAAATGTACATTTGATAAACAAAAATTTAAGATTAAGAAAATAATAATAAAAAACCTAACAAGCGTCAGATCAGCAGCTTAGCAGACTGGTGCTCTGGGCTGCTGAATCTTTGGCTTCGTATTATCCTGCCTATGACCAGAGGTGGTCTGAGGTGTAGAACCACAGAACCTTAACTCCTGGGACTGTTGGTATTGACTCCAGCAAGAGGAGGAAGGTCACAGCGTATGATGCAAGTACTCCCCATGGGGTTCTAAAGCAGGAACCTGCTGCCTGATTTCAGCAGCTTCGAGGCTCCTCATTGGTCTCAGTGACACCTGCTGGTATGAGAGACAAATTAGTCACTTGGAAATAATTCAAATAGGCTTCTATGAAAGTAGGCCACTGGATTGGCCAAATTAAATATAATATATATAATAAAAATGGGAAAATTAGAGTATTTTATGATGGGCAGATAAAATCTTCTCTAGCTGAGGCTACGTCTTCATTATAAGTGATGCAGCTACCCCTTGTAGGGCTGTAGTGTAGCTACTTGCTGCAGCAATGGAAGGGATTTTTCTATTGCTGTGGTGAATACAGCCCCATGAGAAGCGGCAGACACAGAATTCTTCTGTCAACATAGTGGTGTCAATACCAGGGCTCAGGGCAGCTTAACTATCTCTCTCAAGGGTGGGGATTTTTCACATCCTTGAGTGACATAGTGAGGTTTATGTTTAGACCAGGCCTGAGAGACAAAGATAATTGGGATGTGACTGCTGTTTGGCACTAATTCAGCACTATCTTGCAACTCTAGAATGATATGTTTTCATGTGATACTTTTATGATCAGTATACTGTAGGAATAGGGAAACCTTACAGATTTAGTACTTTAAAACTGTCAGTCACAGAGCAAAGGATGGAGAAGATTGGGAATTGATCAACTTGCTTTTCATCTGTATTGTCAAGTAGGGGTTTGTTCACAGAAGATAACAATTTATTTTAAAAAGAGTGCTATAAAAGAGAAGGGTTGTGATGTGATCAAGGGACAGAATCAGCAGCTCTGCTTGTGATTCACTATGTGATCTTGGGCAAGTCATTTAACCTTTCTATAGTTTAGTTCCCCCATCTGTAACACGGGGATAATAATATTTACCTACCTCACAGGACTGTTGTGAGGTTCCATTAATGTTTACAAAGCACTTTGAGATAACAGGATGAAAAGTGCTGTTGTAAGTTTAAAAAGAATTTAGTCAGAGAGGATCTCATAAAAGAACACATGAAAATGTGCACCAAATAATTCTGAAAACACATTTAAATGTTGTCTCATTCGGTTTTCTCAGACTTACTTAGGGTACGTCTAGACTACATGCCTCTGTCGCCAGAGGCATGTAGATTAGGCTACCAGGCATAGGAAAATGAAGCGTCGATTTAAATAATCGCCGCCTCATTTAAATTTACATGGCTGCCGCGCTGAGCCGATCAGCTGTTTGTCGGCTCAGCACGGTAGTCTGGACGCGCGGGGGTCGACATCAAAGGCATTTACCTGGGTGGTCGACAAATGCCTTTGATGTCGACACCCGCGCATCCAGACTACCGCACTGAGCCGACAAACAGCTGATCGGCTCAGCGCGGCAGCCATGTAAATTTAAATGAGGCGGCGATTATTTAAATCGACGCTTCATTTTCCTATGCCTGGTAGCCTAATCTACATGCCTCTGGCGACAGAGGCATGTAGTCTAGACGTACCCTTAGAAATGAAGCAGTTCTCTATACTATTGATTTTCCTCATCTTTCTTCAGTGTATGTAAACAAAATCTCTCTACCCTATTTATTTCGTTTTAAATTTTGTTATTAGAAATTCAAATTCTGCAGAATCCTTGCAGTGCAGAAAGAAATGTAAGAAACCAAAACTGAAGGAGGTAAACAGTTTCACTTTATTTTTCTTGATGGAAATATTTTGCTTTTCTCATCCCACCCCCAACAGCCATTTAGTATTGTACATATGTCATGAGAGAGTTTATTTGGTGTTTGCTTTTGAAGAAGAGATGGATTACTAAGATTGGTCTGAATAAACAGACTTTTTTGTCAGCGTGCGCCCTTATTAATAGGAGGGAAGGAAGAAAATCTGGAGAAAATGAGTCTATGTCTCATGGAACAAGGTAAAAGAGCATTACACACATGGTGGAAACTAATCACATCTCTTAATCTTGCATTTTGCCAACATAGTGTGGTCCAGATCCATGCTAAACACTTCTGTTTGTTTCAATGGGAGTTGGATTCATCCCTTATTTTGGTTGCCATTTTTTTTGTCCCATTGGTTAGTGTTTTTATTTATTTAAGGATTTGCTGTGACACTTCTTTGCTGGTGTGAATCTATCCCAACATAGCCAGATCAAACCCTTACTCATCTCATACAGGAACTAGGACCCTCTCCTTGTCAGGGCTCCTCTGCATTCTTCTGTTGGGGATGAGGTGGAAGTAAGAAAGATCCTGGTCAAAAACCATTAAGATCCCCTAGGAGCTGATGAGCAGGAAGACCAGGTGAATCCTTACAGAGGCCTTATGCCTCTATGTGGTTTCCGGATTCCAGCAGATCCTCACCTTCCTGCTTCTTGACTGTATGACTTCAAATTTGGTTCACTGACAGGAATGCTGCAGGTGGCCTCAAGACCCACTGGAAAGGGAGGGTATAAGTACATAGAACTGATCCAGGTGTCTGGGTATGTCTACACAGATGCTGGGAGAGTGCATCCTAGCATGGCTAGACAGACATATGCTCTCTCTGCTTGATCTAGCATGCTAAATATAGCAGCATGGCTGCAGTGGCCTGGGTTTACCATCCTGTCTGACCTTCCTAGGTACATACTTAGATGAGGGTCTATCATTTTTAAGCATTATGTTCATATTGAGAAATTTTAAAACGTAACATCTATTTAAAAACTATTTTAGTAAATTAGGAGGTGCCTGCACTTCAGTTCCAGAATTGTGCGGGAAGTGGGGGGTGGGGAGGAGAGAAATGCAAATCCTTACGGAACCAGTACAGTTTTTAGAAGCATGGGGCTTGGATCACAGTAAACACCTTCAAAAACAAATAAGTTCAACAGCAGACCTACTACTTGGTTTGGATTCAATGCTTCTTGCAGTGGATTTTCTCTTCAGGGCCCTGTGTCTGTTCCTAATCTCGTTCATCATTCGATACATGCTATATATATATATCACACTGCGCTTTTCTCAGCACTTTGTGAACTCTAACACTTATCCTCTACTACTTTCTCACGGTATTTTTGCTAGTGAGCAAATTATCATTCTCCTGTCATAGTCCATCCTTAGAGTCAGCATTATGACTAAAACTTGAACCCTGGGGCTTTAGCTTTTGCTGAGAAACGTTCATGTGGGTTTGAGATTATCTCAGATATGCATCCTAAATAAGAAGTGTATTGTTCTTTTCAAAATTTTGAATTATAAGCAGACAACCTTGCTGCATGAATTTTGTCTAAGAGCTGCAAAACAAAAGGAGTGAGCAGATGTCTTAGAAATCATTTAAACTATTTTTTCTCTGCTATGTTATCCTCTCTAGACTATCCCGCTCACATAGCTCAGTATACCAATGTGATATGGCTAACCCAGTTGTGGATTTATAGTTCTGTAAGATCTGTCTTTCTAAAATACATGGTGCAAGGAACCTTTATTGGCCCTGGTAACAGCCTTATAAATACAGTGCATTCTATCTTTTCTAATTTCATTTCAGATTTCAGATTCTCTATTGTTTTGCCAAGTTTGGTTGTCATTTACATCTGTGTCAAATCAATGCTAATAAATAAAAGGAGAATTCTCACTTAATTAGTAATTTATGCCCCATTTGAACATATGTAAATTACTGATATACAAGGCAAAAGAGAATCAGATCATTAATGCCCCATACTGCAAAATCTGTTGAACCTAGTTATTAGTCTCTAACTAGAAGGATGTAAATTGAGAGTAGTCTTAGTTTGGTGCTGGAAGCAGAAAGAGGTGGAGATTGTAAAGAGATTGTCAAGACAGAGCCAGATGAGACTTGTAGGAAAGAGAAAAATATGGAGCCCTGAAATGGAGAAAGAGAAAGTAGATCCAGGAATAACTTATATGGAGCCCAAATTCCAATTTCTGTTCATCAGCACATGTTCTACATAAAACCAAATACAAAATTGGGATATGCTTAGGAGGAGGAGGAAGAAGCTGAAACTGACATTTCATTTCAGCTAAGTAAACATTTAAAAATTAGCATCATAAATAAAAATCTTGTGGGACTAGCATTTCTGGAAGGATTTAACTCTTTTGAAGCAATTCCTCACTATATTAGAGACACAAACATACTTCATTTACAATCCAATATGCATGCTCTTTTTTTCCACTCCACATTTGTGTTTGCTCTCTCTTGTAGCATGCCATGGCAGGAAGGCAGAATAACATGGGAGAAAAGTTAGTCTCATTTCTCTCCTGTTATGGGTACTCTGCTGCACAGAGCTCAGATTTTAGCATTCTTTAAAATGAGGTAGAAATGAAGGGAAGCTGTAGGTTAAATATTGATAAGGGCTTGTGGTACACAGCAATTATTTGGGTGTTCTTCAAGTAGGATCTATCAAATTAAATCCTGGCACTAATCCCATTAACTTGGTGGGGGCCAAGATTTTATCAATCCGGAGGCCCTTTTCAGCTTCCTGTTTGTGTATCTTACGCTTGTGAGCACAATTCAACATTTGCTGGCCATTTTTGGACGAACAATTAATACCAGATAAAAAGGAAATGCATTTGCTTGAATAGTATGGTAGAACATGTATTTAAGACATCCTAAATGCATCTTGAAACAGTTTACCTTTCCCTTACATATAGGCTATGTCTAGACTGGCCAGTTTTTCCAGAAAATCAGCAGCTTTTCTGGAAAAACTTGCCAGATGTCTACACTGGCCACTTGAATTTCCGCAAAAGCACTGACTTCCTACTGTAAGAAATCAGTGCTTTTTGTGGAAATACTATGCTGCTCCCGTTTGGGCAAAAGTCTTTTTCCGAAACACTTTTGCGCAAAAGGGCCAGTGTAGACAGCAGAGATTTCTTTTCCGCAAAAAAGCCCCGATCGCAAAAATGGTGATTGGGGCTTTTTTGTGGAAAAGAGCGTCTAGATTGGCCACGGACGCTTTTCCGCAAAAAGTGCTTTTGCGGATAAGCGTCCTGCCAATCTAGATGTGCTTTTCCGAAAATGCTTTTAACGGAAAACTTTTCCATTAAAAGCACTTCCGGAAAATCATGCCAGTGTAGACGTAGCCATAGTGTTCAGAAAGCCATTCCATTCTAAGCCAAAGTAGGTCCTATCTGAATTTCTCCACAATCATAGTTAGAGCTTTGGGTTTTCAGTTTTAACCATTAAACCAGGGGTGGGCAATAATTTTTGATGGGAGCCACTCCAAGATTTTGGAAAGTTGTTGAGGGTTGTACTCTTCCATTATGTTAATGGAGGAGGTGTACGGTCTCGGATGTAGGTTGGGTGCAGAAGGGAGCTTGGGGTAAGGAATTGGGGAGCAGGAGGGAGAGTGAGGTCTTGGAGGGACTTTGGGTGAAGGAGGCACTTGTGACCTAGAGCAGAGGACTGGGGTCCAGGGTTTTGGAATGTGACTTAGGGCAGGAGAAGATTGTGACCCAGGGCAGGAGACTAGGGTGCAGGAATTTGCATTGTGACCTAGGATAGGAAGGGATTGTGATCTGTGGAAGGGGTTGGGATGCCAGCTCTGGGAGGTACAGGAGTGGGGCAGAGGGTTTGGGTATGTTGAGTGGGGGGGAGGGGAGGCAGAGGATTGGGGAAGAGAGGGACTGGGTACCAGAGGCAAGCTCTGGACAGGAGACTTACCAGCTAGCAGCCCAACTATCCTGCCTGCCTGCAGAGCTAAATGCTTGCAGAGCTTAAAAAGTTTCTCAGCCTGCCTGTCTGCCCCGCGCCTACACAGGCTGCATGGCCATGTGCTTGTATGA